GAAGGAGAATGTTTTGAGAATGATGATGGCAACAAATGTACAAATGTGCTAGACACAAAGGATGCTTGTATGCATTGTGATAAAAGCTGCATGAGCCCCCAATCAAATTATTTTTTTTTAAAAAGTAACACCCTTTTCATCTCAATTCTTCTTAGATTCTCTGACTTTACCCTAATTCAGGAAGAGTTTAGAACATGTAAACCCCACACCTGTGATTATATACAAAACTCCTCCTTAGGATTTGTCTCTATCTGCAGCTGCAAATGCTTTGAAGGGCCCGAGACTGGTGTCCGGCGAGCCTGGGGGAGCTGTCACCATCACGTGCCATTATGCCCCAACATCTGTCAACAGGCACCAGAGGAAATACTGGTGCCGCCTGGGTCCCCCGAACTGGATCTGCCGCACCATTGTGTCCACCAACCACTACACCCACCTTCAGTACCACGGCCGAGCGACTTTAGAAGACTTTCCATGGAGCAGCATGTTTGTGGTGAGGCTGTCCCAACTGTCCCCGATGGATGAGGGGTGCTACCGCTGTGGCATCGGAAGCAGGAATGACATGCTTTTCTTCAGTGTCAATCTGACTGTCTCTACAGGTAGGAGCTGATGGCTGGTGGGGCCAGCTTGCCAAAGGACCTGGCAGGAAGGTGGGCATGGGAGGGGGAGCTCAGCATCTCAGGAGAACTTTAGACTCTAGGGGAGTGGTGGGGAACAGCTGGAGTTAAGGCGAGGCCTCCAGGAAGTAGGCTCTCATTTTAGAAGTGCTACCAGGCAAAGAAGAAGCCCGGTGGCACAATGGTCAAGCACTCAGCAACTAACCAGAAGATCAGCAGTTTGAAGCCACCCGCTGCTCTGCGGGAGAAAGATGTGACCACTTATCAACATCACAGCCCTTGAAATCCTTGGGGCAGGTTTCCTCTCTCCTTTAGGGTCACTATGAGTCTGATTGATTTGACAGTAACAGGTGGTGCCAATGGTTAACATATCCAGCTGTTAACCCAAAGGTTGGAAGTTCAAGTCCACCTAGCAGCACCATGGAAGAAAAGGCTAACCCCACCTCACCCCCCACTTCTGAAAAAGCAGTCTGAAAACTTGCTTTGATGCAAGAGTTGACTATTCAGCGATGGCTTTGTTTTTGGTTTTTTCAAATGGGATCGATACTAGGGAAAAAATTCCCAAATGACTGCTTGTAAGCTGCATTACCCAGTTCCTCGTGAACATTGTGAAATGCATACTTAGGAATAGTTCTGAGAAGGTAGTGGGTTGGATAGTGTGGTCTCTCGTGGTCAGGAAGCCTCCGCAGGCAGATGTGCAGAGGAGCAAGTGCTGTAGGGCAGGCAAGATAGGGGCAGAGAGGGGACAGCGACAGAGGAACTAGGGCCCCGATCTTCCGACAGCAGACTGTGCTGAGCCCCTCAGCAGGTATCTGGCAGCTACCCAGTCTGTCCCCTCTGCGTCAGGTCTCAGAAAGTTGATCCACAGGAATGGGCATCGTAGGCTGTCAAAGGCCACTCTACAGAAGGGACGCCATGTCAGGAAGCAGCCAGGCACTTACATTCAAGTATGGATTCGTTTTATTCATGTATTCACCTCCCGTCTTCCAACTATCTGCTGAGATTGGCTTGAACTGGAGTTTTTCTTTTTAAGAGCTGTCCATCATGGGCTGCAGACATCTGAGGACAGGGTTAGTTGGGGTGGGGGGGGCTCTCAATATCTGCGTGGAGAGATGTGGGCCTAGGGAGGAGAGAGGAACATATGATGTCAGCATTTGCAACAGATGAGAGAATACATCTGGGTTTCCCAAATTTTTATTTTACTCAACATATCGGTCAAAGACTGCATTTCTTAGTAGACTGTACATGGTGTAGCAGATATTTTAAACCTAGTGTCCTTTGCTTCCCCGTGGTTCCCCTTTCCTGTTCCCATAGGTCTTTCCAGCACCGTCCCCATAGGCACGCGGGCTGCTAGTGAGCTCACCAGGGGGTCTTTGGCAACAGCATCTCCAGAGGCCAACAGATGGACTTCAGGAACCATCCAGACTGTAGATGGTCAGAGAGTAGGATGGGACAGAGTTGATCCAACTCCAGGAACCAGCGAAACAACAGCTTCCTCCACAGAGAGACAACCTCCAGACATAACCATGGCAGTCACTCCGGGAACAGGCAGCAGGGCAGGTGTGTCCATCAGTGCCACAGGTCCTAGCCCCAAACTTACAGTCCTGTCAAATACAACAGACGACATTTGGGTGCCAGGTACCAGAAGCTCAGAAGCTAACAGAGCTATGGTGAGTGCGGAAGGGAGGAAGACAACCCCCAACGCTGATGGGCCAATGGAAGAGAGGACAAGCGTCCGTGTAGCACTGGATGCAACTTGGAAGGCTGTAGGCACCATCAGGCCATCAACCCTGACCTCAAAAAAATGGGTCTGGGAAACCTTCCAAGAAGTAACATCACGTTCTAAGCCACCAGCTCTGAGCAACCTTGAAGACACTACTCCAGCTGCAGGTGCATGGACTTTGGGGACCATCGGCACAGAGATGGCAGCTGTAGAGGGGAGTGCTAAAGGAGGCTTAGTGTCTACTGCTGAAGAGAGTGGTCTCCATGCAACACCGAGCCAGGCCACAGGAGTAGAGCCCCTGAGACCTCGTGGCACGGAGTTGTCCACGGAGAGGTAGGAACCTAGGCCCCTCCCCTCCCCTGGGGTTTCTGCTCTGCCTCATCTCTTGGCATGCCCCTTGATGAAATGGTTTCTGTGTCCCTCTCTCTCCACTCAGAATTCCTTTGTTCCCACCAGGCAGAAAAGGACAAGGAATAGCAAAATCAGACCCCTTCCCTTATCCAAGGGCCCCTGCTGTGAAAATGCCCCTTGAATACGTTCACATGGTTCTGGCAAAATCCAAAGGATAAGTGGACAGAACACTGAGGATGGAACCTGGGGGATGAGTTACATTTTTTTTCGTTTTATTTTCTTTTATTTTTTTAAATTTACATTTAAACAAAGAAGGGAGGCTCCACAGAGAGGAAGAGACTCACTGAAGCCACAAGGAGGGGTGCAGGGTCAAGTGCCAGCCTGGATTTCCTCACTCGGGGCTCCTTCCCACTGTGGCCCCTCGGAAGGCCCACACACTGGTGGGTGGAAAAGGAAGAAAGGATTCAGGGTCTGGGAACCTGCAGGTTGGGGGATCGTGTCCCTACTCTGCTACCAACCAGAGAAGCACAGGCAGCTAACTTCTCTTCCGTACCCCTAAAATGGTCCTTGATTTTCTTTCTAACTTCAGTCTCCCCTTCCCTGTGTCTGTCCACCCCCATGCCTGCTACTCCCACCCCAGGCCTCTTCCAGAAAAGGAAAGCCTCTCTCGGCTCCTGACTCTGGTCTCTGGGCTGCTGTCTGCCATCGTGCTTCTGGCTCTTGCTCTACTACAAAGCAAACTCTGGCGAAAACAGGCCGGTGAGTTGAGTTCATGGAACCCAGAGGCTGCGCGACAGTGAGCGCTTGGTTCCTGCAGAACCCCTCAGGGGTTGGTGGAGTCAGAGGGTGCCAGGTCTTTGGGTTATGCATCGCTTTTCAATTCAGTAGTGACCCCACATGACAGAGTAGAACTGCCCCATGGGATTTTCTAGGCTGTAATCTTTACAAGGTGCCTCTGGGTGCTGATGACGTGTTGATATTAGCCAAAGTTGGCTGTTCGAATCCACCCAGAGGGGCCTCAGAAGACAGGCCTGGCAATAGGCTTCCGAAAAGCTTCAGCCTCGATAGCCGGTTGGAGAGGGCACCGTGTGAGGGCTTGTGCTGAGGTGAAGCACTCAGCAGCTAACTGAAAGACTGCTGGTTCGAATCCACCAGCCGCTTGGCAGGAGAACAATATGGCAGCCTGCTTCTGTAGAGGTTAAAGCCTTAGAAACAGTCCAGGGGCAGTTCTACCTTATCCTATTGTGTTACTGTGAACAGAATCTGCTCAATGGTCATAGGAGTGTGTGTGTGTGTGTGTGTGTGTGTGTGTGTGTGTGTGTGTGTGTGTTGCTGTTTTATTTACCTATTTATTTTGGTTAATCTTTATGGGAGCACATTTCCTGGACTCTCTCCCATGGGTGCCAACCTCTCCACTAGCAGCCCAGCTGAGTCCCTCCACCACTGCCCCATTGGGATTCCTTGGATACGAAGGAGCCAAATTCTAGTCTGAGCCACCTGACCTTTCATGGTCTTCGTTTCTTCAACAATCAGATGGAGAAAACCACCTTGGTCTTTGCTTCTCCTTGGCATCCTGGAGCTCTGGGAGAAGTTCTTTGGAAAAGGCCAAGACAGAATGCTAACACCATAGGCCATGTGTGCTAGTCCGGGTAGACTAGAGAAACAAATTCATAGACACTCATATGTGTATAAGAGAGAATTTTATATAAAGGGTAATTGCCCATTAAGAAAGCATCCCAACCTATTCCAGTTCAAGCCCATAAGTCCAATCATTAGCCCTATATCTGTTACCAGTCTATAAATACTTCTTCGGACTCAAGTAGCACATGCAATGATTGTGAACGAATGCAGGATGATCACAGGCCAGTGGGTAGAAAGTCTTTGGATCCAGTGGTGTTGTAAGCAGCTCAGTGCTGGCAGGGGGTCTCTATGTGGCTTCTCCAGACCCCAGGGCAGCATCAGGGTAGGTCCATGTGGCTTCTCCTCAGGGATGTCTCACAGGGAGTCAGCCTTGTCAGTAGAGAGTCTCCAAGGGAGTGAGCTGAGAAAGGGAGTCTCTCCTGCCTCCAAGGAGGAAATTCCCAGAATTCTCAGGAGAAGGCCATGCCCACACAGAGACCTCATTAGCTATATCCAGATTGACAGACTAGACTCCACTCCATTCACTCTTAATCCTCTCAAGTCCCAAATTGACACCTAATTATGTAAGTACTACACCATGTAAGCCACCCCATCGGCACTCAGCAGGACCTCAAGGCCTAGATGTGGGGCCAAACTCTGTCTTTGCATCCTCTGCATGGCCCAGAGGAAGTCTCCCTCAAGGAATGAGCCAGCCTCAGCTGCTGCTGCAGTGAGTCCTCCCCGATACTGAGACGTGGTGAGGAAAGGGGAGGTTCTCGGAGAGCAAATGGAAGAGGCTAAGAGACCAGCCCCGTGACTGCTGATCTCACGGCTCAGTTGCTGGCCGTCCGCATCAAGGCTTGTGGTGGGTGGGGTGGGGGAGTCTAACTCAGTAGCTCAAGGACTGTTCTGTGTCTGTGCAGCTCAGCAGGCACCACGGGCACCACGGGTCACCCTGATCCAGATGACACCTATCCTGGACTCTTGCTTTTCACCTGCCCGGCTGCCTCCATCGGAAAGGACGATTGTACAGGATGGCTCTTCCCCTACCCATGCCAGGCTTCCTGCCGTGGTGAGGGACCCTGGATTCTGAGGACTGGAAAAAGTTTCTCAGTCCCCATGGCATGACACAGCAGGGCCAGACATCTCCCAGACCCCACATTCTCCTCCTCATCTTCCTCCACCCGCACAAAGGGAATTCAAGAGGCTGGGCTCTTTCTAGAGAAGATGATGGGGGGTAACTCGTCAATCATTCTTGGGCCTAAGAAAGTCGAGCACTCTCCTCAGCCAAAGGTGACAAGATGAGTTCCAGAAGGCTTTGGGAAAGGATTTCCAGGCCCTGAATGAGGGCAGCTACGGGGGGGAATGTGGAATTTCCTTTCTTAGATGTTTGAAGCCCCATGGAGCAGTCCTATGGGGTCATGAAGAGTCCGAACACATTCACCAGCAGTGGGTTTGGGGTTTATGGGTTAGAGAACATGAGACTTCCTGTCAGCATGGAGAATTATTGACCCTCAGTCATCGTGTCTAACGTTTACTAAGATCCCCCCTTTCTACACTCAGTCAGGACTCAGTGCGCTCCACACACTTTCAGTACATACCTCCCCACCACCTCTAGTGCCATTCACTGCTCTTTAGACGTACCAGTCATGCTTCTTCCAGCAGGCTCTGTGCACCTCGAGTGATGATTTTGTTTTATCATCTCCCGATGATTCCAGAGAATTCCAACCCAATATCCAAATAAACGAGGCTCTTATCATATGGCGGATCCCCATGCTTTGCCGGCCCTTGGGATGCAGAGTAGAACCAAGTCCCACAAGCTCTGACTTGACCGCGATCTTAACAGAGCCTGACTGCGAGGCCCATCTTCCCTGGTGCTGCTGAGTAAGTCTGGGCCGCAAACCTTTAGAATAATTGTGGAGCACAAACTGTTTGCTTTCCCCTGGGGCATTCTCCAAGTTAGTAGAACCCCGGTGAACACTTAACAGTTGATTGGCACGGACTCAGTGACCCCTGGAGTCCTGCCCATGCAGAGGTTCTGAATCCCTTGGGCCTCTGCCCCATCATTCAGAGTGCTCTAGAATGACCATAAAGCCAGGTGGCTAAAAGGAAGAATAGCTCTTCCTCAACTCATTGCTCCCCACTTGATCCCACGCTCATGTGCTATCCATTGTCTGCAGTCAAGGACCACTGGCTGCCCCAAATCCCTGGAAATAGCTGTGGGGGAGTAAGCATCCTTGGAAGGGACTGGACCCAATAGGCAGTCACCCTAGTCTAGACCTTTTGACCCTGTCAGAATTTTCTGGGATTTTCCTACATTCATGGAAAAGGAGGGTAGGTTCACACCTTCTTCATAAAGATCCTCTTGTTTGAATGTTTATAAATCCCTGGCAGCAAGAACCCTAGATGAAGCTGAGGGGAACAAATCTTTGGAGGGCAAGGGGGAAAGATGATGTTGTTAGGCATAGTCCCAATCCATACACGGCAGACCAAACACCTGCACCCTCCTCACAATTGTTCCCATGTTTGAGCCCATTGTTATAGCCACTGTGCTTTGTGTCCTTGGTACCTTCTAATCCCATGTCCTAAGTATGTGAGATGATGTCTTGCTATCTTTCCTTCTAAAGAACATTCTGACGGTACTTCTTCCCAGACAGATTGGTTTGTTCTTCTGGAAGTCTATGATATATATTCAGTATTCTTCAAAACTCATGACCCAAATGCATCCATTCTCTTTGATCTCCTCTATTTGTTATCAGTTTGATCAAAGATGGAGGGCCAATGAAAATGTCATGTCTTGGGTCAGAAACACCTCCGTTGGTAAGGAGACATCTTTGCTTCGTGACACACTAAAGAGGCCTTTTGCAGCAGATTTACCCAGTGCAATGACATTTGATTCCTTGACTCTGGGTGCCAGGGGCATTGGTTGTAGATCCAAGTTAAATGACCCCCTTGGCCAAGTAAAACAAAATCCTTGATACTGTCTTAGTTCCTATGTTTATCATACTGTCTTTAGGCAAAATTCATACTGGTGGTTGTAGTCTTGGATTTCATCAGTAAGTGCTTCAAACACTTTCACTTTCAGCAAGCAGGTTTGTGTCTTGAATATTACAGGTTGTTAATGGGACCTCCTCTAATCCTAATGACATGTGCTTCTCTATATAATCTAGCTTCTTGGATTATTTGCTCAGCTCACAGATTAAATAAATATGGTGAAAGGATTCAATCCTGGCACACACCCTTCTCGATCTCAAACACTGTAGTCTCTACCCCTTTGTTCTGTTCAAATGACTGACTCTTGGTCCATGTACACTTTCCACAAGAACACAACGTACTGATCTGAAATTCCCATCCTTCCCAATGTTGTTCATAGTTTGTTATGTTCCACACAGTTTCATGCCTTTAATAGTCAATAAAACACAGGTAAGCATCCTTCTGGAGTTCTCTGCTTTCAGCCAAGAGCCACCGAGCATCAGCAATAATGTCACTAGTTCCACTTCTTCTTCTGAATCCATCTGGAATGTGTGACAGTTCTTTGTTTCCATACAGCTACAACCACTTAAAAATTATTTTCAGCAAAACTTTACTTGCATGTACTACTCAGGATATTCCTTGGCAATTTCTACATTCTCTTGGGTCACCTTTCTTAGGAGTGGGCACAGATATAGGTCACTTCCAGTCGATTGCTTAAGTATCCATCTTCCAAATTTCTTGGCAAAGATGAGTGAGCGTTTCCAGTGTTGCAGTTATTTGTTGAGATCTGTACATTGATATCCCATCAATCCCTAGAGCCTTGTTTTTCACCAAGATATTCAATGAAGCTTGGGTTGCTTCAATCATTTCAGACCTTGATCAGACACCTTCTGAAATGGTTGAACAGGGAGCAGTTATGTTTGGTACAGTGACTGTATTCCTCCCATCTTCTTTGGGTGTTTCCAGCATCATTTAATATGTTGCCAGTAGAGTTCTTCAATATTGCAGCTCAAAGCTTCGAGGGTTTTTTTTTTTTTTGGGGGGGGGGTGTTCCCCAGTTCTTTATTCATTGCCCAGAATTTGCA